AAACTGTGACCCATTGCCCATTTTTAAAAATTAATTAATTTTTTAAAGCAGAAAAGCACCATGCCAGAAATTGGTTATCCCGTTTATGGGGGGAAGAAAAGCAAGGGAAATGAAATAGCTCCTAGATCCAAACTGGCGTGTCTCTCCCGAAGGAGTGGCACTGTGACAGCACGCTGGTGCCCCTCACTCAGGGCGTGCTGCTGGAGCGGCTGGTCTGGACGTTGTCTGGAGGAATGTGTGCAGAGTTTAAGGGCAGGTGGTTCTAGAGATCACCCAGCTCCTTGGCCTCTGTCTGCTCCTAGATGTCCTCCTAAAACCCAGGTGAGCCGAGAGCAAGGCAGGTAGAAAGGTGCAGCGCATGAAACAGACCTCAGCTGGGATGGAGAACACAGCTCCGGTGCCAGTGGGTGTGCCGAGGCTGTCTTGCAAATTGCGAGGCACCAGGACTTGGCAGTGATGACAAGCGATATTATAACAACGTAATCACAGTTTGGGCGAGAAACGGTCCGATGGCCATCGAGGTTCTGGTCTCTGCACCACTGAGAACTTGAACTTTCTATGAACTCTACCAGACCCAAGGACACCACCAGCTGTATTCAGAGCCACACCTGCCAGTTGCAGCCTTATGGTCTCAAGGCCGTCCCCTTGTAATTACGCAATCATTTCAGTCCCCAGCCAACCCTCACTTAGCAAGCACTCTCACTTCGTGCAGCTCCAGTTATCATTCTTGATAAACAACTTATGTAACTAGCTGTTATCTTTGGGCTTTTCCTTTATAACCCTCCCCCGTTTTGGAGTCTGAAAGAACACAAGCACTTGAATCTGTGTGTCTCAGGCTGCAGTCCTACAAACTCCAGACAAACACCCTTTAACATCTATCCAGTCTCCATTTCTAAAATTTTGGTTAACAGCAGAATGGAGCCCAGAACAAAGCCCTACCCCATCTCAGCCGTTGCATCTTTTTATCATGGATGGTTTGGTCTGCAGGTGGTTTCACCAGGCCCTCACCTTCCTTCTAAGTTGGAAACCTCTTACCTGCTTGGCAGTTGCCATGCAGATGACTCAGCACCTGCTGGGAGAAGAGCTCTGCTGAAAGGCGGCGGGAGGCTCACGAGCAGTGTCAGGCAGGCCTGTGGGGGCGCCTGCTCCGCGCAGGTGTGGGAATGGGTGGCTGTCAGCAGCTCCAATTCTGAAGTCACTGGTAGTCAGCCGTACCAGATTTTCCGGCTTTAACTAGGAGGAAGACGTGTTTGCAAGGGATGCGATGTCATGTACTTTTGTC